TGAATTCTTATTTTGCTTGAGATTCTTTGCAGAGATAAAATTGAGTAATTCTTGGGTTATTCCTAAGTGAAACCTGCTGCACTCAGCACCACAGGTTCTGCTCTACTGAATGAGTACAGAATGGAGTAGTGAATGGAGCATGGGATTTAGTAATGTCATCCTTGCCTTCCACAGGTCTGGATTGCTCAGGTAGAGTCAGAAGCCCCATCGCAATAGTGACATTCATCACTGGATTATCTGTTACTTAGAATATGGATTAAGTTGTTACAACAGGATTGCTAAAAGTGGTTTCCTTAAGGGTATGAAAGCGTATGATCTAAAGTATCTTGAGTGTCTAGGAATTTTTTCTTAAAGATTTTATTTATTCATGAGACACAGAAAGAGAGGCAGAGACACAGGCAGAGGGAGGAGAAGCAGGCTCCATGCAAGGAACCTGATGTGGGACTTGATCCCGGGAATCTGGGATCATGCCCTGAGCCAAAGGCAGACGCACAACCACTGAGCCACCCAGGCATCCAAAGTCTCTATGAATTTAATTTACCAAAAGATGTGTAAAACCTCTTCTGGAAAAATTATATAACTTCATTGAGGGAAGAACATAAAATAAGAAACTGGCAAGATATATAGGATTGAAAAATAGTGTTGTAAATCAGTCTATACTGCTCTAAATTACAGGATCCGTACAATCCCAACTGGATTCATAATAGAAATGTACTAATTGATTAAAAAATGTATATAACTGGGACGCCTGGGTGGTGTCAGCAAGGGGTAGAATAGAGAGGCCAGCCTGATCAGATCTTGCTTGAGCAGACGCTGGATTTTGAGAGGCAGCAGTTCTGAGCAGTGAAGAAAGAAAGGATGGTGTTTTTAATACAAAGTACTGAGGGTTGTGGCTGTGTTTTCATAGGATTTTGTATAGTATTGTGAAACCATTTGATGTTAGCCGGTAAAGTTAGACTTGGGGAAATTTTGGTGTACCAGGATCAAAAGTGTTCAAAGCAACTGGGATGAAAAGCCAAAAATAACATTGAGGGCAAGAAGCAAATCACACAAGGGGCACCTGGGCAGCTTAGTTGGTTAAGCACTCTTGATTTGGGCTCAGGTTATGAACTCAGGGTTATGAGATCAAGCCCTACCTTAGGCTCCACACTGGGCATGGAGCCTGCTTAAGATTCTCTCTTCTTCTGTCCCTCCCCTCCCCCCAGAAAAATTAAAATTAAAAAATTTTAAAAAGCAAATCACACAAGAAGATATGCTATGATTCCATTTTTGGGAAACTCAAAAAATAGGGAAACTAAACAATTCTTGATTGCAAGGGCATATTTAGGTAAAACAATCAAGTGAACCAAGGGATTGCAGGTGAGGAGCTCTATGACTTCAGGGGGCAAGAAGGAGGCTCCCACGGCAACTTTCTCAGGTCCTGGCACCTATTTCAAAATCCATGTAATGACTACAGAGACGTTCATTTGATTCTTTAGAATATACAAATATATAACATACAAATATATTTTTGCAGTCATCTGCACATATGATGCATCTTACAATTTAAAATTTTTTTTAATTATGCACTAACAAGACAATGTGATACATAGAATGAATGTTTGCTACCTGACAGGACCCAGGCTAATTGCTGTGCACAACAATCCCTGAATCACAATTCTATTATTCCCATGCTGGGGCCACTTGGGTCACTGGGAGACATCATCTCTTGTCCAGAGCCACACACGAGGAAGGAGCTGGGTAGGGCTTTCTTTCATCTCAGGCATGGCTGATTCCAAAGCCTGCTCCACCATCTGCCTCACTCATAGCATAGGATGTCCAGGGTAGTACAACAACCAGAGTCCCTTCACTTGCCACTGGGAGATGTGAGTGTGTACTTGGTGCAGGGTCATAGCCCAGACCAGACCCAGGCCCACCCACCCACTCACCAGACCACAACCCAAGCCAAGCTCAGGGAGTATATAGCATGTCTCTGAACACCGTGTGAGGCTGCAGCTTTGACGTGGAGCTGACTGAAACACCCTAAGGAAGTTTTAGAGCAGGTGATGCAGCTGCCTGTGAAGTGAGTGAGCTCTGTGCAGATGAGTAACATACAACAGAGTGGGCAATTCAAGCCTTATTAGGAGCCCCAGGTTTGCCAAGTGGAATGTAACTCTCTAGCTTTTTTTTTTTTTTTTAAAGATTTTATTCACAGTACAAGTGGTGGGAGGGATGGGGGAGGTCTGGAGAGAGATAAGTAGGCTACTTGCAGAGCAGGGAACCTGATGTGGGGCTCAATCCCAGGCCTCTGGGATAATGACCTGAGCTGAAGGCAGACACTTAAAGAGTCACTCGGGTACCCCTCTTCAGCTCTTTCTTAAATGCTCCCTAAATAAAGACTTAAAAATTTTTTTGGAAAGATTTTGTTTAGAGACAGAACAAGTGGGGGGTAACGAGCAGAGGGAGAGAATCCCAAGCAGGCTCTATGTCCAGTGTGGAGCCACATGTGGGGCTCAATAATCTCACAACCGGAGATCATGACCTGAGCTGAAATCAAGAATCAGATGTTTAACCGACTGAGCCACCCAGGCACTCCTAACATTTAGTCTGTTCACTCAAGAGTATTCATTCACTGGTATCTACCAAGTGTCAAGTTCTGTAGGGCTGAATTGAATGGGGATGTTGATTTGCCCTTGTCCTGGGACATAGCAAGAAACACATCTATGGAAGGAGAAATTCTCAAAGTATTTAGGAAAGCAGAGGGAGAAATGGGAGAACTCTACAAAACTTCTGGATGTAATTCCTTTTCTAGAAGTGTAGAAAACCCAGGAAGTGCAAAAGCTGGAAGCTTACATAAGAAAAACCTTAAGCTAGGGATTTCTCATGGTAAGTATCGTTAAAGAGAAAAATGACAAACCATGTATTCACAGCACTCCCCAAGATCAGGTGGGACAACTGAATGAGTTACCACGTCCAGGAAAATTAGTGCTAGTGTGAACGGAGATGGAGGTACTGAGGAAATAGAGGCGGCCCACTGGCCAAATCAGATGCAGTGCAGGGAGGAAGTCTTCCTCACTCCAGCCAAGGTCCTTGGGAACTCAAGGCTGCTAACACCCATGGGGGAAAGCTGCCAGTTGCAGGGTGCACACCCGGGGAGGGGGGGGGCAGTAATCTTCCCTTCAGCAGTGCTGAGGAACTGACCATCAGGTAGGCACCACTGAGTCAAAGTGTTAAGATGCCTATTCCAGTTCACACTGGCTTAAAGGCACTGGGTCTGGAGCCATGGGGCCACTATGCTGACAGAGTGGGATGACAGGTTCTGAGCCACCTTGCGGTGCTGGGTTGGGGCAGAATCTTAGCTGTGAACAAAAGGAATAGGATCTCTCTCCTGGAGGCAGGAAGATGCCCTGGGCAAGCTAAACCTAGGTGGGTAAGATCTGTGAAAAATTCCACCTAGGATCCCTTGCCTGATTCATGCTGGGCACAAGTCAACTATGCCAGGGATTCTAGAGGGAAAAAACAACTGTTTATTGTGGGAATGCCAGAAAACAAATGCCTGAGCAAGAAGCAAAAGAACACAGCAAGGTCTCTGGTTTGGAGGTCCTGGCCACTAGCACACATAGTTTGAGAGCAGGGGTGGGATGCCATGATTATTCTCTGGAAAACAGATGAAGTTGCCAGAATATATCTTTTTTCAAGCCCTTGTTCCCTGAACAGGCCCCCTACCCCCAGATAATGCTAACAAATAAGCTGTTAATACCATCTACCCCTCTCCCTGCTCCCATTTCCTGGGTTTGCTTCTGCACCTGTTTCTCCCCACCTCCTCCCCAGTCATCCTGATCCCAGGAATTAACTGGTGTTGCTAGCCATTTAGAGCACTACAAAGTGCTATGGGTTCAAGGCCTAAGCACGTTGCACTTTATAGTTCTACGGTAGAGATATCCAAACTTGTTCTGCATAGCCAATGTACAATCACCATGCTTGAGAGCTATGGGATCCCTTCACTACCCGTCCTACTGGAAGGGGCCCTGGAAATCAGGTTACACAGACATTTAAAGCTCTTTGGGAGTTAATCAACAAATCATTTAGGTTCCTCAAAACCTCCACTCTATTTCTCTAATTCTAATGGGTCAAATGTTATTAGAAATTCAGGAGAGCTGTTAAGCATATTAAATAGAATTGAAAACACAGAACAGATATGGAAAGCACGACAGGATGACATTTTTGTACACACACCTGTACAACCCTCCCAGAACCTGAAGGCAAGCTGACCTGGTGACAGGCTGGGGCCCCTTCAGTGGTTCCAGAAGACTATACTCTACCTTTAACCTAGGCTGGTATTCAAATATAGAGGCCACTCAAGAAGTGTCCAATCAGAAAGGGACACAGAACATAAAGACTCCTAACTCTGGGAAACGAACTAGGCGTGGTGGAAGGGGAGGAAGGCGGGGGGTGGGGGTGAATGGGTGACAGGCACTGAGGGGGGCACTTGACGGGATGAGCACTGGGTGTTATTCTGTATGTTGGTAAATTGAACACCAATAAAAAAGAATTATTAAAAAAAATAAAAAAATAAAACAGATTGGTAACTTGGCCCTTAAAAAAAAAAAAAAAGAAGTGGCCATACAACTGGCATACAGCAGGGCTATCACTAAAAGCCAATTTACTCTACTCTGGCTCTACAGAATTTGCCAGTGCAGACATTAGTAAAAGAATTATCAGGTCTGACCTTAGAAAAAAAATTCCAAGGGCATCACTATAATATTTACAATTATCCCTTTTTTGGAGTGTACACAAGAGTAGCAGGTGGGGACAATCTCAAGCAGGCTCCATGTCCAGCATAGAGCCCAATGATGAGCTTGATCCCACAACCCTGAGATCATGACCTGAGCTGAAATCAAGAGTTGGCACTTAAAAAAGCACTGTTTTATCTAAAGCAGGCTTTAGAAAAGTAAAACTGAAGTCAAGACTTGAAGTAATCCCAGGCATCTTGATCTGTAAATGAAACACGGAAATGGACAAAACTTTTAGAAACTGTTTATTTTCCGTCAACCTTATTTCCATTCTGTTCCTTCTGTGGAAGAGCAGCTTACGACCACTCAGTGGTTGTTCCTACCCATTCAGTGGCCTGAGCAGTGGGAGCTGCAGACCAATCTTCAGTGGCTGGCTGAGCGCTCCAGTCTTCTGTTAAGAAAACACCAAAAAATAGTCAGCCCCGCTGCCACCAGCACTGTGCTATGAATTCCACCAAATACACATTTTAAAGGACAAACACGCAAGGCCAGACCACTTCAAAAGCACCCAAATTCAATCTGTCAAGTTATCAGCAGAGGTATACCGCACTGGCACAAAAACCTTTCAATACTAGTATATATAGCCATGGAGATCTTGTAAGTTAGATGATTACCAAAAATCCAAGTGACTAGCCTGATCTATCACGATACATACCAGTAGGGAACTGCTGAATAGGCACAGAGGGCACCTGCACGCCTTCAGACCAGTCTGCAACCTCAGGCTGAGTAGCAGTGAACTCAGGAGCTGGAGCCGTCCATTCACCCTGAAATTCCTCCTTAGTTACAGCCTTTTCAGCAGCGGCCTGTTCTTCCTTTTCAATCTGGTTAAGGAAAAAAAGTTTATTGGGACAAATTTTATTTCAAAGAAGCATAAACCAAGATGTCTGATTTGCTATGGAACCACAGGCCTTTGCGGAGGAAGCTTACCTCTTCAGGATCTCTGTAGAAGTAGAGATCAGGCATGACTTCCCATGGGTGCTCACGGGAAATGGTGCCACGCATGCGCAGGACTTCCCGGGCTAGCATCCACCACATCAGACCCACTGAGTGAGCTCCCTGCAAGAGTGCCAGGTTAAGAAGGGACACCTAGCCACCTCCCAATTCCACTTTTCTGTCCCATCATCTAGATCCCTGGTACCAAGAAAATAGACACATTTCCCACTTTAAGCACTTATTTGTAACAAGGAGTACTCTATAATTAGTGGGTCTCCACTGGACCCATGGGAATTAAAATACAAAAACACAACTGTCAAGAACCCCCCCAACACAATGAAACAAAATACCTAAAGAGTGCCTGGACCCTGGTATTAAAACACCTCTAGGTGATTCTTACATGGAACCAAGGTTTTGAGACCAATAAACTGGACCAATTTGAACCATATGCAACCCACCTTTTAAGGACCTCATTGCCACCTTTTAAGGATTCATCAAGTTGCTCTGAAAACCAAAAAAGCCCAGTAATGCCTGAGTCGCCCAAACAGTTAAGAAATATGGAGAAAAGCAGAAAACACAGACCATTTAAAAAACGGGTTCTCCTTAAAGCTCTGACATATCTGAATTCTACTTGTAGCAAGAATTACTATCAAACTCCACTCATTGGGCCAGAGACCCTTGTGGTGTTAGCGAAAAGACTTGCCCCTCATGTAGCACACTACCTACACTTGTGAGTTCATCGGCCAGCCAGTGGCCTCAACTCCAAGCTCTAACAATGTGCAGAGGAATGCCCAACTGTTTCAAGAGTACTCACTATTGAGGCTCTAGTGTGTCATAATGCTGTTACCTTGTTGTTGCAAGGGATGGCAATGTCCACGTAGCGCAGAGGAGAGTCTGTGTTACACAGAGCAATGGTAGGCAGGTTAACGTAAGATGCCTCTGTGAGAGGCTGGTGGTCAGCCCTGGGATCAGTAACCACCAGAAGCCTTGGCTCTCGGAAGGCTGCCTGGATCTGGTTAGTGAAGGTTCCAGGAGTGAAGCGGCCAGCAATAGGAGTGGCTCCAGTAGCAGCAGCAAATTTCAGCACAGCTCGCTTGAAGAATTAATATCAAGAGTTAGCAGTGCTCCAGGGATGGCATCCCAGGACCTCCCCAAATGTCCATGTGCAGACACTCAGTTCTGTAACCCCAAAGCAGCCCATGGAGCTGGAGCCCTTCTAATATCCCCTCAACAATGAAAACATCAAAGCACTTCACACCCACAATTCTTTGTCTTCTATGCTACCTGAGAAATACTTATAGACCAGGGCCCAGAAATGCTTAGTACACCCCACCTCCAGGCCGTCTGTCTGGAATGCCCTACCCACTCCCACATCCCTTAGATCACCTGCAGCTCACTGGCTTCCTCACATCTGGAGGCTCCAGGGCCACACCGCCTGGTTTCAAGAACCAACTAATTCACTCCTGGAGTGAATGTGGTAGGTTATTTACGTGCTTCTAACTTCCTCATGGGACCATGAAAGTTAAATTTACCAACACAAACAACAGTGCCCGACAGCAATAAGCACTTCCGCGTTCTGGTTCAATTTCATCACAGCTACCCTATTTTAATAAAGCAGGAACATACTCTTTCCCTTTATAAAACTGGTTTCCTGCATCCCTTCAAAAAAGGCACACTTGGTGTTTTCCTGCTGTATCTCAAGCCCCTAGCAACACTAGACTTAATATAAACACTCAGTAAATTTCTGCGGAGGGAAATTGAGAGTGGGCACTAATTTTCATTCTAAACGGTCTTCTACCATCCACTGAACTCTAAGTCCTGTCGCAAGCCAGCTTCTGGGGAATAACCCCCTGGAAAACAATCTTAAATTCATGGGAACCAGTTTTACCATCAACCTTCAAGTACAAGAGAACCTGTCTCACTATACAATTTAAATGCCTGTCAAATTCCAAGCTAAACATCTTTTTCAAATTAGAAATGGGCAGAGCGAAATCCTTGCTAGAGCTTTTATATAGTGGACTCTTGAACACCACCATTAGCTTTAAACCATGGAGATCCACTCATTAAGGACATATTTTACAATACAGTGTATTTTCCTTTCTACAGCTTATAGTATATAGTATGTGTTAACAAAAGGTGTTAATCGACTGCTTAGCTTACTGGTGAGGCTGCTAAAGGTCAACAATAGGCTATTACCTGTTAAATTTTCTCAACAGAAAAAGAATTGTCAAAAGAGAAAAGGGGCAAAACATAAGTTTTAACCCACTGGCCATTTAAAGAAATTAAGTTTTCTTTTGTGTTGGCAAAGATTCTTACTCTTAGGAGACTTGAGCCTTAGGAAGGGAGTGGTACCCTATTAGAAAAGCTTTCTTGGGACTCCTGTGTGGCTCAGCAGTTGAGCGCCTGCCTTTGGCTCGGGATGTGATCCCAGAGTCCTGGGATTGAGTCCCTTATCGGGCTCCCTGCATGGAGGCTGCTTCTCCTTCTGGTTCTCTGCCTGTGTCTCTAATGAACACAAAAACTTTAAAAAAAAAAAAAAAAGAAAGAAAAACGTTCTTAAAAATTTTGCAGTTGATGGGATCCCTGGGTGGTGCAGCGGTTTGGCGCCTGCCTTTGGCCCAGGGCGCGATCCTGGAGACCCGGGATCGAATCCCACATCGGGCTTCCGGTGCATGGAGCCTGCTTCTCCCTCTGCCTGCGTCTCTGCCTCTCTCTCTCTCTCTCTGTGACTATCATAAATAAATAAAAATTAAAAAAAAAAAAATTTTGCAGTTGAGGAACATCTGGGTGGCTCAATGGTTGAGCATCTACCTTTGGCTCAGGTCCTGATCCTAGAGTCCTGGGAATGAGACCCGCATTGGGCTCCCCAAAGGGGAGCCTGTTTCTCCCCTCTGCTTCTCTCTCATGAAGAAATCTTAAAAAAATTGGAATGGACACCCAAATTTTGACTATTTCATCATTTTAAATAGAAAAAACGGACTACAGAAAATTCTGATAAACCATTTTTAACAAGATCAACTCTCACTACTTGGTGGCGCACGAAAATACACAAGGATATGAAAACTGAAGCTCAACACACCACCAGATGCCAAATTGTATACGTTAAAGACTTCAAATACTAGCAATTCAAGATTTCCAAGTAGTAAAATACTTTTTCTTACTTTTCCTTACACCCACAAGGTCTGTAAGCGTATTTTTTATAAAAAGCATATTATTTACAAACCTGGCCAGTATTCCTAGATGATATAACACTGACATCAGCTGGGTTTTCAATGGCAACAATGGCACGAGCTGCCAAAAGAAGCTTCTCCCAGGTTCTCTTCAGATTTATGATGTAGATACCTATGATGGCAGAGAGCTTTTTTTTTTAACACCCCACGTAACTTGCAATGGATTTTCTTCTCAAAAACAATGTAGCAGTGACTACTATCAAACTCCAGTCATAGAGACAAGCTCTACTGGTGTTAGCGAAAACCCTGCTGTTTATATAGCACACTTCCGACACTCAGAAGTTCATTGGCCACGGTGGCCTCAACCTTGAGCTTTAATAGTGTGCAGCCCTGATTCAGCAGGCGAAGCACATCTCTCTTCCTGCACTAAGCCTCCCTCCATCAGGCCCCCATGTGAATTTCTACAAGTTCTTAGCCACTTCTTGGCCTCTCACCACTTTCCTTTTCACCTACCTCCATGACAGATTCGCCCCCAAACTGCTTTACAACGTGCCACTCCCAGGCTTATGTCCTTTAGTGGCTCCATCTTTGAGCTGAAGCACTCACTACCTTTCCCAACATGCCTTCCAAACCTATTTGTTCCTATCTCCTGTTCCGTTTTATGCTCAGAATTCAGTCAAATGACGGGACCCCTGGGTGGCTCAGCGTTTGAGCATCAGGGCCTGCTTCTCCCTCTGCCTGTGTCTCTGCCTGTGTCTATCATGAATAAATAAAATCTTTAAAAAAGAAAATTCAGTCAAATGAACACGTATCAGTACCTGTAAAATAAAAGGCACAATACAAGATAAGCTAGTGAGCTTCCTCATCATCTTTGTATCTCACAGCTCCTTCATGAAGCAACCCACGTCCTATAATCTACCATTTGATATACTCTTTCACTGGAACCCGGAAAGCTAGCCTTCCAAAAACCACCAGAACACTTTAATGTTTAAAATCTCTTAAAAGTAGGGATGCCCGGGTGGCTGGGTGGTTTAGCTCCCACCTTCAGCCCAGGGTGTGATCCTAGGGTCCCGGGATTGGGTCCCACATCTGGCTCCCTGCATGGAGCTTCTCCCTCTCCCTGTGCCTCTGCCTCTCTGCGTTTCTCATGAATAAAAAAATAAAATCTTAAAAAAAAAAAAAAAGACAACTTCTTAAAAGTAATCTCTACCTCCAGCATGGGGCTCAAACTCACAGCGATGAGAACTAGTTGCATGCTCTACAAACTAAGCCAGTAACGCACCCCACTTTTACTTAGTTTTAAAGCTTATTTCCAATGAAGGGATGTGGTTTCATTTATAACTTAAATGCAATGCCCCTCCCCCCAAAACCAAAGCAAAGACTAACCATCACTTTTCCTTTTGTAGATGTACTGTTCCATTTGGAAGTCAAGGTTGGTGCCACCTAAGTGGGTTCCTGCTGCAAGGAATTTGAGGACATCCTCCTCCTTCATTTGCAGAACATCAAGGGCTCCGGACATTGTTAAAGTTTCCCTTTAAGTTACGATGGGAACCTGAAAAAGCAGTTAACAATCCAGCCATATTCATTCCACTGATTTAGGGACCAGACGCATTCTAATTACTCTTGAGAGCTAAACAACTTCCTATTGGAATCCAACCCAAGGATACTTTTAAGTTTACAGTCTAGTGTAATGACACATAGAAGAGACGTATCCCACACACTACAGCAAACCTTCGAGAGTGTGGAAGTGGGAAAAACACCCACTTCAAATAGCAAAACGAAAAGTGAATTCCCACTTAACCCTTCAGGGTCAACAGGAGTAAAGCTATGGATGAGCAGAGATAACCAAGTACGAAGACAGGAGTCATGTTCAACAAAGTGCAGAAATTGAGCAAGGGAAGCAGAAATGCGAACAAGTTTTTTTTCAAGCAGGCTGCAGGTGGGCGCTTCAAAATTCTATGATCACAACTAATTTTCTCTAAAACCTTGCCAAGAACCTTAACAAGAAAGGGATAAACCAATCAGCCCGAGCCGTTGTAAGTAGGCGCCTGGGCCTGAGCGCAGGGCCGAGTGCTGGGGCCCTGCCCGATCGCGGCGCGGCGACGCTTTCCGCACCCCTGCCAACCAGCGCAGGCGAGTCCGCACCCCCCAACCCCCGCACCGGGCACCCCGGGTCCAGCACGACCTCCGCGCCCTCCCAGAGCATTGTGGGAATTTGCGGGCCCGAGCCCGACCACGTGCGGGGCGGCCGGGCGGAGAGCGCGCGGGGCCTGGAATAGACTCGCTGTCCCTGCCGGCTTCCATTCCCGGTCCCCGCACCCCGCACTCCCAACAGGAAGCCCTCCTGGGGGCTTTGGGGCCGCCAGGAACTCTACAAGGCACTCACGCAAAACAACGCCGTATGGACCCTTCCCTGGGTAGCGCGGAAAGGACAGGCGAACGGAAGTGACGTCCTTATATACTCCGCCACCAGCCAATGACAACAAAAGCCGAGCGGAAGGGCGGATGGGCACCCTAATCCCGCGGAGCCGTTTGCGGCGGTGGCGCTTTCCGGCGCCGCGAAGAGGTTCCGCGCTGCGCGGCCGCCCACGGAGTCTTGCGTCAGCAAAGCGCGGCGGCGTCGGCGGCGGCGAGATGCGCGGCCTGGGCTTTCCTCGCAGCTCTTGGCTCCGGGGGCCTTGTGCCGGCCCGTGTCCCAACCTGCAGGTTCCTTACGTTTTGATCACATCGTGCCCAAGTATTCCATCGATAAAAGCCGAAGGAATTATTTTCATTTCTTGGGAGAACAGCTCAGGAATACATTCAGAGCTTGAAATCTGATTATGGGAAATTTTCCTGAATAAATCAAAAGGAAAAAAGGACTATACAGATGGCAGATTTTGTTTTTTAGAAGAGGAATCTCTATCAATAAGTCAGTTTTAAAAAAAATTTATTCTGTTCCTATAGTACTATGCAGCCACTGAAAAATATTCGAAAGATATTCTGGGATACAAAAAAGGCTCCAGGGAGATTATTTTTAAAGACTTGAAGCCCGTGACAACTATACTACAATTAAAAAAAAAAAAAAACAGTTTAAGTCGGTTGAGCTTCCAGCTCTCGATGTTGGCTGAGGTCACGATCGGAGTCGTAAGACGGAGCCCCCTCGGCACGGAGTTAAGGTTCCGTCTCGCCTTTCCCGCCAGCCCCGCCCCGCCCCCACCGCGCCTCCCTCCCTCCCTCCCTCCCTCCCTCCCTCTCTCTCTCTCTCTCTCTCCTGGGGGGCTCAGCGGTTGAGCGTCTGCCTTCTGCGCAGGTCGTGATCCCGGGGTCCTGGGATCAAGTCTCACATGGGGTTCCCCGCTGCCGGGAGCCTGCTTCTCCCTCTGCCTGTGTCTCTGCCACTATCGCTCACAAAAAAATAAAACCTTTTTTTTTAGAAAAGAAAAAAATAAAAAGCTGATAGCAAGGAAACAAACAGGGGTGGCTTTAAGCATTCTTCAAAACTATTGAAAATATCTAGGCATTTCGGCTCTCAAAAGAAAAAAAACAACAACTAGCTGTATGAACTGAATGGGTGGCTTTTAGGGACAGTTTTCTGTCACTGCATGACTTCTCCGGAGGGCCTTGTGGGACAATCCCAAGCCACCCTAGCAGCTCTGTTCTATAAGCACCCTTCAGTCCCAAGACTACTTCATTACAAGGACATTTTACTCTCATAGGTGTTTCTCCACAAAATTCTATTTTTCTCACAAAATAACTTTGCTCTTGAGAACTAATCTACATGATGAAAATCCTTGGCGAAGAAACGAGTTCACAGAAGTCCAAAGATGAAGGTACCAACTGTAGTGGCAGTAAACCACCGTGAGGAGCCCTTGCCCCAAGAAGCACTTGCCGAAGACTGTCTGTGGTGTCCTCCACTGTGCAGCCTCCCAGTTCTCTGCACAAGTCTTTGCAGCATTTTTATACACACCCATTTTTTAAAATCTCAGAGCCTTCCTTTTGCAAACTTGATTTCTGGGGGCTCATATTTAAAAAGATAAAAACTAGGGGCACCTGGATGGTCAGTCAGTTAAGCATCTGTATTCAGCTCAGATCATGATCTCAGGGTCCTGAGGGTCAAGCCCAGGTCAGGTTCCCTGCTCAGTGGGGAGTCTGCTTCTCCTTCTCTCTCTGCCCCTCCCCCTGCTTTTCTCTCTGTGTCTCAAATATATAAAATCTAAAAAAATAAATAAATAAAAGTAAAAAAGATAAAATCTTGGGGCTCCTAAATTGAGCCTTTAATTCTTGGTTTCAGCTTGTGATCTCGGGGTTGCAGATCGAGCCTGGAGTTAGGCTCTGTGCTCAGGCACTGTCTGCTAGAGGGTTTTCTCTCTCTGCCCCTCCCCTACTTGTGTGTGCCTGTGTGTGCGTGGCTCTCTCTCTCTCTAATAAATCTTTAAAAAATAAAAATATAAACATCTGGCGTAGGTTTCTTTCCAAATATACAATTGTGCTAGGGACTGTGGTTTTGGGGGGACTACACAGGGCACTGGATGGCTAGGGGAGTCCCTGTTCTGATTTATAACTGAGAGAATATAGGACACATAGCTGGCTCCAGGTTTCAAGTTCATCTTGGGCACCTTCCACCTCCTTCCCCAACCAAGCTTCCTCCTTCACCTGTTGGTCTGTTATCCAGTTGTGCTCCAGCCCTCTCCAGGAAACTTACCTGCAATGGCCTGAGCAATGTTCCAAAATAACCGTTCCCTGTTCCCTCCTTTGTCCCAAAGCTCTCATATCCTTAATTAAATGGATTTCTGTCCACCGAAAAGATTCTGTCTTACACCATTTCTCTCTCACACTTGGCACTTTTTGTCTTGTATTGAATACAAGTTCATGCATTGGATTCCTAGCTTCATTACATGCTGTGACTCTGAACAAGTCACTTAACCTTTCCCAGGAAATAAGAGCTATGGTCTATTTCAGCTGCTGCTGTCCCCCCTGAGATGAGCCCCTGTGCCAGGAATCCTAGGATCACACAGTATGCAAATGAACAGAGAAGGCTCACTTGATACTCATATTTTATGAACCAAGGTGACATTTTAATGCTTTATATAAAAAAAAAGTGAAGTTACACATCAAATACAAAACTCAACAGGTTTAAAAATTAAATCACATACATATATACTTGAGAAGTCACATTAACTAAAAAAGACACAATTGTCCCTGAAATGGAGACTGGCCTGAGATTCTGGGTTGCTTCAGTCACTGTGACCCTCAATCTTCAGAGCATTTTCACCAAACACTTGTATCCTCATACAGGCCCAACCATGTCAGGCAACTGCCAGCTTGAACCTCTAGGTTCAGGAATAGCCACACCTATAGGATATTCACAGTTTATTAAGAAGCCAAAGTTCATTGAAGTCCAGTGGAATGAGTTCTCAGCCGAGCCAAATCTCCTTTTATGATGTGGAAACCGGGTGTAATATGGTCCAAAGTTACACAGAAAGTTAGAACACGATTGCAATGAAAACTCATGCTCAGACTGGAGTTTCTTACTCTAAACCTGGCCTATATGCAGGTTTTCCTTCTAGTGGGATGGGACCCAACTTGCACCCTAAGGAATGTATGGTATAGAGGAAGAACATAATGAAAACAAAGGGCATTTCAGAGGGAAAGGAGAGAATGAACTGATAAAATAGCCAAAAGCATTCATTCAACATTCAGTAATCTATAAGCCTGATTCTGGGAGAGGGCACTTTTGAGGGGAGGGCAAATCATCTGGTGTGGTCAAGACCCAGGACAAGTGGGTAGTATACTAGTAGTATAGGTTGCGACACCTGGGGGGCTCAGCGGCTGAGCATCTCCTTTCAGCTCAGGTTGTGATCCAGAGGTCCTGGGATTGAGTCTCACATTGGGCTCCCCACAGGGAGCCTGCTTCTCCTTCTGCCTATGTCTCTGCCTCTCTCTCTCTCTGTCTCTCATGAATAAGTGAATAAAATCTTTAAAACAACAATAAAAATAAACCCCCAAAACAAGTAGTATAGTTTAAGGCCCGACAGAGAAGGACTTGGAATATTCTCTTAGGGGAAATGGCATATATTCTGCAGGCAGTGGAGAGTCAAAGATTATCAATAATGGGATGAGTTTTATGGAGAGATTTAAGGTAACAGGTTGACTTCCAACTCGTTCAGTTAAAGCGGCCACAGGACATCCAACCTGGTGGGGATGACTAGAAGGTGGCTAGATGCACAGAGGTAATGAAGCAAGGTCTGAGGAATGAACAAAATAATGGAAAGACAGAGACCAGTTATTCAATAAACATGCATCACAGTGCTTCTCTATGTCTTAAGGCATGGGCGGGGGTAGCTGAGACACAACAATGAATGAGACGAGTGGCCTCTGCCTCTTGGAGCTTATGACTGAACTGGAGAAAGAGATCAACAGCTAATATTTGGTCATTTAATAAGTTCAGTGGTGCTAATTGCTAAGTCACGGGGTCTGTGGGCATGAAGAAAGGGCTGACCTAGCATGAAGGGTTACAAAAGCTTTCCTGCACAAAGGATGCTTCAGCCAAACTCTGCAGGTACCTCTCCAAGGTACTACAATGGCACAGGAGAAGCTGGGGAACGAGGCGAAGGTGAACAATGAGGCATCAAGGGCATAAAGTGCAAACGAAGACATCCAGATAAGACTCAGGAATGGCTTATAGAGTCAAAACAGAGACGAGTTTGGCCATAGACAACAATACGGAGGAAATCAGGTGAAACACAGGTAAGACTACATGAAGACTGAGCCAAGGACACGAGGACACCAGCACCAAAGTGGAAGATGATGGGGGGTAATCAAGAAGAGAAGCACACGATAAAAATGGTCCACGCATAGAGCTGGACTCCCATGTTTTGATAACAGTTCAGGAAAAATCATTTTCAAAAAACAGTTCTCTTTTCAAAGAAGCCAAATTATTTACAAGTGTCAAATAAGCCCGGTCCAGTCTTGGAGAAATACCGTATGTAGACAAAACAAATTGGAGAAATACAGCCAGTGACAGTGATAACGCAAAATGATAACCATTCGTTCTATGCTACAAATACTCCCCGCTATTTACAAAGTTGGCTACAAAACAGTCCTCAGTTTTTCATCTTCCCGCTGTCAAAAGTACACGGATTTAGTTAAAGTTGATTCCATGACAAGTGATACTTTAATTGGTTCCTCGTGCAGATGAAACTCAGTGTGCACCACTCTGTTATTCACCTGAAAGATTAAAGCACAAACTGTCCAAGAGCCCTGAGCAAAAAGCCTTTTAGTAAACTCCACATAGTGAAATTCTGTGAATTCCCAAAAGTGATGCAGACGGCATTCAGATGAGCACGTCCCACCAAGTGCTTGGAAGGTAGAACTCTGGATGCGAAGAGCACTAGTTTTGGGTCCACAGACCTGGGTTTGGTCTCAGCTTGCCCATGGGTAATAGTAGGCAAGGCTTTAACCCTTTCTGAGTCTTGGTGATTCACGGTAAAATGAAAGGGTTGGATTACGCTATGTCCAAACCATCCCACAACTCTACAATCCCAGGGTGGGTTGTAAGCACATCTACCATCTGCTACCTAAGCTGTATGTAGCTTCATCATGCATATTTTTGGATTTTTTTTGTTGTTGTTGTTTTGGCCAGTGTCTACTCAGAAAGTGCTTTAAAAATGAATGGCTGGGTGCCTGGGTGGCTCAGTAGGTTAAGTGTATTCTTGGTTTTGGCTCAGGTCATGATCTAAGGGTCCTGGGATCGAGTCTCACCTCAGTGAGGAGTCTAACCTCCCTCTGCCCCTACCCTGCACTATTTATCTTTAAAAAAGTAAAAAAAAAAAAAAAAATTGAAAAACAAAAATAAACAAATACGTAAAATACATATATGTAAATAAAAATGAAGGGTGTTGAGTAAAGGCTTAATGAACAATTTTTTCAGTTAGCATCAGTTAAAATGGATTTCTATTCAGAGCTGGTTAAATATGTCTTTATTATGACATATTCCTGAGCTGACCAGAAACTATGTTCTTAGAGAAATTGAACAATATAAGATATTTGGGAATATGGTTGAAATAAGCATCAAAACTATCCATGGCCCCTCCCTTTAATATTTCCCCCCAAGCTCCTATGAGGTGAAAAGGAGTTTTAAAAGCTATTAAGCATCATATGTAAAGTATTAACAATAAATCTATTCTAAAGAAACAAAAGTAGTTACTATACCTTGGGGAGGTGTGAAGTAATTAATACATAATTTTGATTAGGGCATGAACTCTAGAAGCACTCCACCCAGGCTGGAGTGCCAGCTGGGCCACTGACTAGCCCCCATGTGTCACGGTGGATGCGAATCCCAGTAGCTACTTGAGGGGTGTTGGAAGGCTTTAATGGATTACTCTCTGTGAAGTGCAAAAAATAGTAACTGCTCTGGAGTGAGCCATGCAATAGACTTTGGTATCACTCTTACTGTACTCTTCTGCAATCTTTTCTTTTTCTTTCTTTCCTTTTTTTTTTTTTTAAAGATTTTATTTATTTATTCCTGGGAGACACAGAGAGAGAAGCAGAAACATAGGCAGAGGGAAAAGCAGGCTCCCTGCAAGGAGCTTGATGCAGGACTCAATCCCAGGATCCCAGGATCACAACCTGAGCTGAAGGCAGACACTCAACCACTGAGCCACCCAGGTACCCCTTCTGCAATTTTTTCTAATTAGCTTTCTTTTGGTATAAAACTCTCATATTGAGAAGAAAATTACCCTTTAATCTTGATATGATAAACTACAATAACCGGGCCATTCTCCAAACTATGGTTCATGTATAAATCTACTGTAACTATGGGCACGCATTCATTCAATGATTGTTTACTATGGGCTACCAACTGGGAAGACAAATGTGAGCTAGAGTCCATCCTTAAAGTCGCAAGGTTCTCCTCTCTCGGGAAGCCAAGCCAGGCAAGAACTTTGATGCTCACCTCATATCCAACGCACTCAGATTACCAATGACCAGAAAATGTCACGATCAATTTCCCTCATCAGCTGGCTCAACCATGTTGTCTGAATGCCACAGTCATCGAAACTTATGATCAGCCCATCATTCCAGGCAACTTTTCAGTATCTCTCATGTTTCCATAGCTAAAGTCAACCTTTGCCTGAAAATGCTCTCATCAAGTGCATTACCATCAGCATGAAAGGAGCACCTGTTCCCTTGGAATTTACTTACTCTGGTGAAAAAGTCAGCGATGTGCCACTTATTTCCGTACTGTTTAAAGACTTCGGACATTGCTTCAATCATCACGGAGCCAGTGCGAGGGTGCCGTAGAGCAACGTGATCTACAATACAAACACAAGACGTTTTTTCTTTTTTTTTTTATTTATTTATTTATGATAGTCACACACAGAGAGAGAGAGAGAGAGAGAGGCAGAGACATAGGCAGAGGGAGAAGCAGGCTCCATGCACCGGGAGCCCGACGTGGGATTCGATCCCGGGTCTCCAGGATCGCACCCTGGGCCAAAGGCAGGCGCCAAACCAATGCGCCACCCAGGGATCCCACAAGACGTTTTTTTCCATTTTACTCCTCTCTTTGCACCAAACATTGTCTTTTACTCACATTTAAGCCTGGAAAATGGCTTTGAGCTGAGAATAAAAAAGCATTCTTGCATTAATAAGAGTGTCTGGGGCCATAAGAGATATAGACACAAAAAAGAGGAAGTACCTGAGTGTCTCAGGGGACTCCTGTGACCAGCAGCATGGTCAAACTAACCCCTCAAGAGGCCAATTCTCTTATATGAATTTTCCAAATAAAACTTCAAATATACACAAAAGTAGAAAGCAAAGTTTAACAAACTCCCACATAATCATCCCCCAGATTCAACAGTTATCATCATTTTGCCATATTTACTTCATTTATCTCTTCCCTATTTTTTTTTAATTTCTGGCTTTTGCTATAGGATTTTAAGCTAAATTCCCCCAAAATACACCCACAGAGATTCATTTTAGGGTCCTCAAAAGTTTAATTAGTGAAATTATTTTTATTATCAATTAGATTTTTAAAAAACGCCAAACATGTCTGTTTAGTGTAGAAATTTGATGGGAATATCAAAACTGTACACTTTGATAATAAATCCAGGTTGAAACAGAAAAAACATGGGGATATCTCTGCAACTTCAACATAGGCAAAGGTTTCTTAGAACACAAAGAACATAAACTATAAAAGAAAAAGCTGATAAGTTGGACTTCATCAGAATTTAAATTTTTTTTTTAATTTTTATTTATTTATGATAGTCACACACAGAAAGAGAGAGAGAGGCAGAGACACAGGCAGAGGGAGAAGCAGGCTCCAAGCACCGGGAGCCCGACGTGGGATTCGATCCCGGGTCTCCAGTATCGCGCCCTGGGCCAAAGGCAGGCGCCAAACCACTGCGCCACCCAGGGATCCTGGACTTCATCAGAATTTAAAACTTTTTTTTTTAATATTTTATTTGTTCATTTGAGAGAGTGAGCGAGTGAGAGAGAGCACAAACAGGGGGGAGGGGTAGACGAAGAGGGAGAAGTAGGCTCCCCACTGAGTCAGAAGCCTGATATGAGACTCAATCCCAGGACCCCAGGATCATGACCTGAGACGAAGGCAGATGCTTAACTGACTGAGCCACCCAGGCACCCAAAAACTTTTGTATTTTGAAAATGTTACTAAGAAATTGAAAAACAAGCCACAGATTGGGAGAAAACATCTGTAATACATTCCAAATTACATGTATCCAGAATACATAAATAAATCTTACAACTCAACAAAGAAACAAACAACCCAATAAAAAATTAGGTAAAAGATATGAACAGACATTTAGCAAAAGAAGATATATGAATGGCCAATATGTACAGGAAAAGATAATCATTAATTCTTGAAGAAATGCAAATTAAACCCACATGGCGATAGTATTACACATCCCTCAGACTTTCTGAAAGTTTTAAAACAGGTCAAACCAACTGATAACAAAGATGTGGAGCAACTAGAACTCTCATACACTGTTTGCGGGAAAGTAAATGATGCAATCATTTTGAAAAAGAATTTTCAATTTGGCAGTTTCTTTAAAAGTCAAACATATACCTACTATATGAATCAAACATTCTGCTTCTTAGTATTTACTCAAGGAAAACAAAAACATATGCCCAAAGACTTACACATGTGTATTCACAGGAGCTCTGTTGGTAATAACCAAAAACTAGAAACAACTCAAATGTTCAAAAACAAGTGAATGGCTCAACATATTGTGTTCACTTTGTGTTATATTTACACAACTGAATACTCCTCAGAAATAAAAGGAAATGAACTACTGATACACAAAACATGGACGAATCACAAAACTATTATGTTGAGTGGAAAAAGACAGGCAGGCAGGCAGGCAAGAAAGTATATATAAGTAATACATACTAAAAAGTATATCAGATATCTGAGGGGCTTAACAAAACTAAAAGTATATACATACTATATAATTCTAGTTATAGAGAATCCCAGAAAATGTAATCTAATCTGTGGCAACAGAAAGTGCAACTGTGGTTGCATAGGGATGGGGATGGAGGCAAGGGTAGATTACAACATGGGGAAACTTTTTGGGGTGATAGAAGCATTTGTTTCTATCATGGTGATAGTGTCATGAATGTATACTTACATGTGTTCAAATGGCATACATGGAACATGTACTGCTCATACTTCAGTTTTATCTCTATGAAGTTGTAAACAAATTCACAGAACATATCTGTTCAGTGTGGGAACTATACAGGAATTTCAGTATTGTCCCTCTTAGAGTAAATCACAGTCAGAAACCCCTCATCACAAAGCTTGGTGAACCATTCTGTCCAGTGTTCTTCAAATTGCAGGTTGTGGCCCAATAATCAGCCAATAAATCAATTTAGTGGATTAAAGCTGCACTATTTTTTTTTTAAGATTTTATTTATTCATGAGAGACACAGAGAGAAAGGCAGAGACATAGGCAGAGGGAAAAGCAGGCTCCCTGTAGGGAGCCCAATGCGGAACTAGATCCTAGGACCCCAAGATTTTGACCTGAGCTGAAGGCAGACGCTCACCTGCTGAGCCACCCAGGAGTCCCTTAAGCTGCATTTTTTTATAATGGGATAAAACGGGCTATACCAGAAAATATTAAAGTGGCTCAATGGTAGCAAGGGCAGCTATGATTTATAAAACTAGTGTGTTACACATATATTTTTACATAAATATATATGACAAACTACAATGAATTATGTATTTTATCAATTCTAAGATCAAAGGTTTTTTTTTCCATTTCAGCATCTCTGAAATCTGGATGTGCTCTATAATATCTTCTGTGTCATAGATCAACTGGTAGCTTCTTGAGGATACAAAATAATGGTATGTCTTACAATCAAGGCATTAGATTTGAAGAAACACAATCTTCTTGTGGGTTATGGCAAATAACACTTGAAAACCTCTAACCTAACATAGTCTCAAGCTCTTTGAAGAATCACGTGCCAGTCAGTAAAACGAAAATCAGAGTAGCTGCCAGGTATCTTATCAAATGAAAGATTATAAAGTTCTCATTGCTTTGAAAATAATCAGCGATCCTAAGTCCATGGCCATGGGTTCAGTCCTCAAGACAGATTCTAGGCCACAAAAAACAGAGTCTGATAAGTGACATTGGAGAACTTTAGACTTTGGCTGAAAGCTAGTCAATTTCCACCGATTTACCAAACAAGGTCAAAGGAAAAATTATTTAGGACCAGGAGGGGCACCTGGGTGGCTCAATTGGTTAAGCATCTGCCTTTGGCTCAGGTCATGATCCCAGGGTCCTGGGATGGAGTCCTGCATCAGGCTTCCTACTCTGGGTTGTGGGGGAGTCTGCTTCTCCCTCTCCCTTTGCCCCTTCCCCTTGCTTGTGTTCTCTCTCTCTCAAATAAACACAATCTTTTAAAAAAATTAAAAAATAGAAATGCTTATATTTTTAAAAAGAGAAAATTATGAGCCAAGTACCTAAATGAAATAGTTGGGAAAAGAAGAGTAGAATAAATACCACCAAAATGAAGAAAAATGGAAACAAGAGTCAAAATTAATGAAATCAAAAACAGATATCAGAGGAGATTAACAAAAGTAAAAATAGGTTCTTGATTAAATAAATACACGACTGGCAAGACTGATAAAAGAGGGAAGCCACAAATATCAGATAAAAGGAGCACTACCATAGATTGACTGGACATTTCATGCAATGAAACCTGGCCAAGAAATCTGAAAATAAATTTTTATTTTTCTCCCATGAAGAAACTGGTTCTCCCAGCACTATTTATTGAACAGCCATTCATTCCACACTGATTAGCAATGACTGCTTTGCTTTGTCACCTGTCTAGTTTCCCTACATATTTGGTTTTGCCTCTAGGTTCTCTCTTCCAGCCTGTGGCCTATTTGTCCATACACAGAGTTCTTGTTACTGCTATATACTAAGTATTCTTATCTTACAACACAAATTCTCTCAAATATCTGTAGTCACTCTCTCATGTCCCCCAAGTATCTACACAACAATCAGATTTTCAGTGGGGACATCTCTATACATCTCTTTTGAAAACTGTTTAAAGATTTATTTATTTATTTATTTATTCATGAGAGACACACAGAGAGGCAGAGACATAGGAAGATGGAGAAGCAGGCTCCTCACAGGGAGCCCGATGTGTGACTCAATCCCCTGACCTGGGATCATGCCCTGAGCCTATGCTCAACCGCTCAGCCACCCAGGCATCCCATATACGTCTCTTTTTTTCATTTTTATTTTTTTTAAAGATTTTATTTATTCATAGAGACACACACACAGAGAGAGAGAGAGAGAGAGCGAGAGAGAGAGAGAGGCAGAGACACAGGCAGCGGGAGAAGCAGGCTTCATGCAGGGAGCCCGACATGGGACTTGATCCCGGTTCTCCAGGATCACACACCGGGCTACAGGTGGTGCCAAACCGCTGTGCCACCGGGGCTGCCCCATCTCTTTTTTTTTTAAAACTGCAATCTCCACTCCTGCCCTGGGACACTCCCTGTATCCCTTGTCCCTGCATTATCTTTCTCCATAGCACTGGTCACCATGCAACATATTTTATTTTTAGTAAACATTTCACTGAAAGGTAACCATCACACAGAAAAGTGTGCATGAGGTATATAATAGGTCAATAAATTTTCATAAAATGAACACACCCTTTAACCAGTGCTCTCTTCAAGAAACAAGTTGATGCCAGCATCTAGAAGTCCTCTTCTTGCACGCGCTGGTCATGACCACCCCAAACACTGCATCCCTGAGGGCAAGCAGTATCCTGATTTCCAATACTGCAGATTAGTTTTGCCTATTTTAGAACTTTATATAAATGGGATCATAAAGTAGCACAATATATGGTTTATGTGTTTATTGTCTGTCTCCACTAACACATAAATTCCATGTAGGCAGAGATTCTTAGTTCTTCTGTTCAATACTGAATCTCAAAAATAATAATAATAATAATACTGAATCTCTAGACCTTAAACATATACATAGTCCAGCACACAGTGATAAAATCCATTCATTCAATAAAACTGGAACATTAAGTTCCTCACCTTGACCCTTAAATGCTCCATAATAATTCTGTGGTTAGCTTATATAAGGAACTCATTTCTTTTTATTGTTGAGTAGTATTCCATGGATGGCACACCACAATTTGTTTATTCATTCACCTGTTGATGGTCATTTGGGTTGTTTCTAGTCTTTGACTACTTCAAATAAAGATGCTAAGAACATCTGTGTACCAGTCTCTGGGAGAGCGTGTGCTTTCACCACTCTTGGGTAAATAACCAAGGAGTGAAATCTTACATCTCACTTGAATTGGGATAGTATTCTTCACATCTTAGCAATAAGTATGTTTAATTTTAAGTTGTTGCCCTATTCTCCTTTGCTTACATTTCTTCACTAACATTTTATCTTGAATTCCATATGGGGATCCCTGGGTGGCGCAGCGGTTTGGCGCATGCCTTTGGCCCAGGGCGCGATCCTGGAGACCCAGGATCGAATCCCACATCAGGCTCCCAGTGCGTGGAGCCTGCTTCTCCCTCTGCCTGTGTCTCTGCCTCTCTCTCTCTCTCTCTCTGACTATCATAAATTAAAATTTAAAAAAAAAAAAAAAGAATTCCATATGTATTTTTGCAAACTGCCTTTATCCTCTTTGAAAGAGGTCAAGATACGGGATCCCTGGGTGGCGCAGCGGTTTGGCGCCTGCCTTTGGCCCAGGGCGCGATCCTGGAGACCTGGGATCGAATCCTACGTCGGGCTCCTGGTGCATGGAGCCTGCTTCTCCCTCTGCCTGTGTCTCTGCCTCTCTCTCTCTCTCTCTCTCTGTGTGTGCCTATCATAAATTTAAAAAAAAAAAAAAAAAAAAGAAAGAGGTCTAGATAAAAACAGCTAAAGGGGAGCACCTGGCTGGCTGGCTTAGTTGGTGGAGCGTGCAACGAGATTACTTAAAAAAAAAAAAAAAAAAAGCTAAAGAAATGTCTTTGACCTCTCAATTCTACCTCTCCTACAAATGAATCAAGTCTACCACAAGATTCTTTTGGGCTTTTACTATTAATAACACTATTACTAATGATGATAAATCTTATTAGCATAATGTGTTAGTAATAATAGAACCTAATTACTTTTTTTATTATGCCAGTTATTATGATAAGCACATCTGTGGTTATATAATTCAATTTATAGAACATCCCGATATAAGTAAATTCCATCATTCCTCTTTTACATGAAATGGACATATCTAGAAATTTAAAAATGAAAAAAAAAAAAGAAATTTAAAAATGCTGAGGGTCTCAAATACAGCAAGTGGCAGAACTAACTTTTGGGACAAGATCTTTTTCATATGAAAGCCAATGATCTTATTTACCATGTGATACTTTGCTCAGAGGTTTGTGTCTTCCTGTAAGAAACAAACAATAAGATGTCAACCTGCCATCTCTAAAAGTGAGAACATCTGTAAAGAGAGATGGTGAGTTAATAAAAAATCTCCTTATATATGTCAATTTCTAAAGCACTGATAATCTAAAAAAAAAAAAAAAAAAAAAAAATGAAAGTTACGAATGACCCAAAACTTCTGGAAGGTGTGTGTCACTGTCATATACCCTAACACCTCACAACTCACCTGCCTGGGTGGGATAGATGATGAAATAATCACTGAATGTGGGCAGCCTCCTCTTCTCAGATACATCATCAGACTCCATGGGTTCATCATCGGTCTCAACACCGCTGTCTCTTCTCTCTGTGTTTTGAAGAACAAAAATACATACTACAGGAATATACCACAGACACTAAGAACCCTTACTCAAAGTTCCAACAAAACTTGTATCTCCACAAGAGAGAAATATCTGAAGAAGCTACACAAGTTGGATGTTGGCCCCACAGGCCACCTGCCATCCCACGGACATTGAGAATTGCACACATCTCAGTTGTGAGCCTCCCTGGCCCACCTCATGACACAAGGCCCACCTCAGCCTTAGCTAACCATTCTATCCCAGCTAAATTCCTCTTCTAGCCCTTCTCCCAGTCCAAAATCTCCAGGATACCATGCAACTAAAGCCACATCAGCTGAGGGGCCTCTGATTTTAAAAAACAAACAAGTAAATATTTTTAACTTCTTTTCTCAATCATCCATATGAAAATTTCCTAGAAACATGACTATTATTTTTTAAAGATTTTATTTATTTATTTATTTATTATTTATTCATGAGAAACACAGAGAGATGCAGAGACCTAGGCAGAGGGAGAAGCAGGCTCCTCTCAGGGAGCCCGATGCAGGACTCAATCCCAGGACCCCCGGATCACACCCTGAGCCAAAGGCAGACACTCAACCTCCTGAGCCACTCAGGCATCCCCGAAACATGGCTATTAGAAAGAAGTCTCCACTTACCTCCTCTACAGGCCTGGATGATAAAGATCTTCGGTTTCTCCTGAAGTGCTGGACAGTTTTTATTATTAAACATTTCAAAAATGTCCTGCAGGCTGACTTTTTCACCGTCTTCCATTTTAATAAAGCCATTCTCCCCATGGGACATAAGGGTAATGAGGCAACAGCCAACATCACCTTTAATTTCATTGAGTCCATCACGAAATAATGTTATTTTCCTGAGTAACTCCTGAAAATAGGATAACATATTCAAAAGAACTGAAGGTAAAAAAAAAAAAAATGTTAGAGACGGCCCCTTTCCTAGGCAGTCCGAGGACATGACAAATATGAAAAGAATGTCTCGAACAGGGTTAGTATGAGGTAAATATCAGTTCTTTAACCTGTCACTTCCCTGTTGGTTGCTCTCAGAATGCTTCCTGTGCCACTGGTTCTTCTTTGACAGAATTAGGTCATTTCATTTTTGATTCTCTACCACAAAATACAATAGAATGGTAATCCCCCAAAGGGCTAATGTATATAAATTTTATATTGTTAACTTATTTTAACATACAGAAATTATTATTCTCTACAACTAATGCCATCAATAAGCTAGAAATGGAAGGGAATGGAAGTCTCTACCAATAATATTTCCATGCCAGCATCTATGAGGAGATGTCACCAGGATCAAGCCCCCTAGAGGAGCAAGGCAGGAATGACTACAATTGCTGCTCCCATGCCTCTCAGTCAAGATCCTAGTCACTTCAATAAAATTAAAAGTTAAATAAAGTCTACCTCACGCCAGTCAGAATGGCTAAAATGAACAACTTAGGAAACAGATGTTGGCAAGGATGTGGAGAAAGAGGAACCCTCTTATGCTGTTGGTGGGAATGCAAACTAGTGCAGCCACTGTGGCAAACAGTAGAGAGGTTCCTCAAAAAGTTAAAAATAGAACTACACTATGACCCAGCAATTGCACTACTTGGTATTTATCCAAAGGATACAAAATAGTGATTCAAAGGGGCACATGCACCCCAATGTCCACAATAGCCAAACTATGGAAAGAGCCTAGATGTCTATCAACAGATGAATAAAGAAGATGTGGTGTGTACACACACACACACACACACACACACACACACACACACACACAGGAACATTACTCAGTCATCAAAAAGAATGAATGGAATCTTGCCATTTGCAACCACATAAATGGAGCTAGAGAGTATTATGCTAAGTGAAATAAGTCAGTTAGAGAAAGACAAATATCATATGATTTCACTCCTACATGGAATTTAAGAAACAAAAGAGGGAAGCTCAGGTGGCTCTGTGGTTTAGTGCCATCTTCCGCCCAGGGTGTGATCCTGGAGACTTGTGATCGAGTCCCGCGTGGGGCTGCCTGCATGGAGCCTGCTTCTCCTCCTGCCTATGTCTCTGCCTCTCTCTCTGTCTCTCATGAATAAATAAATAAAATCTTTACAAAAAAATAGGAAACAAAACAGATAAGCATAGGGAAAGGGAAGGAAAAATAAGATAGGGGCACATCGGTGGCTCAGTAGCTGAGCATCTGCCTTCGGCTCACGGGACCCTGGGACTGAGTTCCGCATCCGGCTCCTCGTAGGGAGCTTGGTTCTCCCTCTGCCTGAGTCTCTGCCTCTCTCTGTCTCTCATGAATAAATAAATAAAATCTTTAAAAAATGAAATAAAATAAAATAAGATAAAAATAGAGAAGGAAAAAAAAAGAAAAAAAATAGAGAAGGAAGCAAACTAAGACATTCAACTGTAGGAAACAAACAGGATTGCTGGAGGGGAGACGGTGCGGGGATGGGATAACTGGGTGATGGGCATGTGATATATATAATGAGCAGTGGGTGTTATATGCAACTGATGAATCACTAAATTGTGCCTCTTAAACTAATAATACAGTATATGTTAATTAAATTGAATTTAAATATACATTTTTAAAAAAATGAAGTCTAAATACAGGAAACAAGGAGCCAAAACTCATTACTTACAGATACCATGATTATCTAGAAATATAAAATAATCAACCAACTAACTATTGGAACTAGCAACCAGTGAGCTGACTGGACACAAGGTTAACTCACAAAGATAAAACACCCCTCCCAGTTACCTGGCAACAATCATTTAAACCACATAATGGAAAAAGAGGGTTCCATTCATGGTCACACCCAAACTAGGACAATACCTAGTAATAAACTGAAGAAATACATACTACCTAAATGAAGAAAAGGATAAAGAAAGCTTCAGGGAAGAGGCAACATACACCATGACATGCCCAATGGTTCTGTTAATACTATTAATTTGCCAATTCATACCAAATGAATCTCAATTCAGTGTCATGGCAATCAAACTCCCAAAGGATTTTGGTGGACCTTAACCAGATTATTCCCAAGCTCACAGAGAACAGATGACATTGAAGAAGAGTCAAGAACATTCAGAAGTAAAAAAAATGGAGAGGAATAGGTTCTATCAGACATCAAAATATTCTAGAAAAATCATGGTGAATGAAAACAGTGACATACTGGCAGAAATATAAACAAATATAGGAACAAAATATTTTAGATTCCTAAAACCAATCAGATTACATATAGGAATTTGTTTCACATATAATTCAAATATGTGGGGGAAAGATAAATATGTCTTCAACATTCAATAAATGTTGAGACAATTGACTATCCATCTGGACATAAGATGGGACCTCCTATCTCACGCTGTTCCAAAAACAAGATTCCATAGAATAGAATAGAAGCCTTAAACTTTTTTTTTGTTTTAGGATTTTATTTATTTATTCCTGAGAGACACAGAGAGAGAAGCAGAGACATAGGCAGAGGGAAAAGCAGACTCGCTACTGAGCAGGGAGCCTGATGCAGGATTCGATCTCAGGACCCTGGGATCACGCCCTGAGTCCAAGGCAGACGCTCAATCACTGAGCCACTCAGGTGTCCCGGAAACCTTAAAACTTTTAAATACAAATAATACAGAAAAATTATTTAAATTTTTTAAGTTGGGAAGGCATGGGATTTAATCAAGACACAAAAGTCAAGAACCTGCCAAGAGAGATTAACAAGTTTACTCAAAAAAATTTTTTAAAGACTTCAATACAACTAAGAGAACAAAAAGAATCAAAAGACAAGTAATAGAGTAAGAGAAAAGTATTTGCACTACATTTTGTAAATGAATAATGTCCAGGAAAATAACTGTAAGAATAGGAAAAAGACCACCCAGTACAAAAAAGGCAAAGGAGACAGGACAGATAATTTGCAGAAGGAAAAAAATGGCCAAAGGATGTTTAACTAAACTAATAATCTAGAAAATGAAACCCAAAACAATGAAATACTTTTGCCAGTAACAGTGCTAAAGGTTTATAAATAAACATTGCTGGGATGCAAGAAAAACACTACTGAAGATCCTTAAAAGAATAAATAAAAGGAACTTTGGCAGTATCTACCATTCAAATGGAAGGCACCGGATAAAAAGCCAGACAATACGTAAGTGATTCTAGTACAATCCTTGGGGAAAGTGAGAGTCTGTTTTTACCTTTGAAACAAAAATAAAATCTAAGCTTACTGGGCTTTTGCTATAAGTCAGCTCGTATTCTGGGAATTTTGACACACAGAAGCTCATTCATTATCACCACAGCCCCCCAAGATAAGTCACTCACATCAACCCCATTTCAGGAAGAGGAAGGAAAGTAGTCAATCCTTTTTAGGCAGGGTTGCTAAAACTATTGCACTATGGACACTTGGGGCCAGAAAATCCTTTGCTGTAGGGGCTGTTCTGGGCATTGTAAGCACCCACTAGATGCCAGTAGTACACTCCAGTTGTGACAACCAGAAGTGTCTCCACACATGGCCAAATGAGGAGGGACAATTCACCAGTTTGAGTATCAGATTTAAGGTAACAACTCAGAAGAGACAGGATTCCAGCTCCGACGGTCTATGTGTCACACACAGCCCCTACTGCACTCTTCCCTGACATTTACTTATATTAGGAAGGGTCTTCTTATGTTATAATCCTTAAATTAAGGCAGGTGTAGGTCCTGACTCAGCTAGAGTCAGAGAGGTCAAATGGAGTTCCCACCACCACTCTTCCATCTTATTTTTTCAGCATCATCTAGTTAATCCACAATGCAATTCTGCCCATGGCTTTTAGCTCCCTCTTTACACCTCTTGCAGGTTTTAAATGAATCCCACAAGAACTGGAATCCCTCTGGCCTGCCTCCTGGTGATCTCTCAAAGGGGTTTCTTTGGTCTTTCCTGCTCCCAAATGCTCTGGAGCTTGCCTACACACCTTGTCCTTGGGCCTCCTTGCTCATCTTGCTTAGGACACCTTCTTGGGTCCCCTTCCCTCTTCAACTGCAGAGCCTTAGCCAAGACTGGAGCCCAAGAGGTCCCTGCTTGACTAGAAGGGGAAGTAAGGTATCACACACGTAAGATTACAAAAGCCTCAAAAATTTTATCAGGACACACATGGGATTGCTCAGTAGTCCTGGTTCTTGCCAGGTATTAAAATCTAATTTTTATTTTATTTTTTTTAAAGATTTATTTACTTTTGAGAGAGTGAGCAAGCACCAATAGGGGTGGGGACAGAGAAAGAGGGGAAAAAAATCCTAAAGTAGACTCCCAACTGAGTGCAGAGCCAGGGCTGGATCCCAGGATCCTGAGATCATGACCTGAGCTGAACTCAAGAGCCGGATACTCAACTTACTGAGCCACCCAGGTGCCCCAAAACCCAATCTTTTTTTAAAAATGTATTTATTTATTTATTTATTTATTTATTTATTTATTTATTTATTTATTAAGATTTTATTTATTTACTCCTGAGACAGACAGAGAAAGAGAGAGAGGCAGAGACATAGGCAGAGGGAGAAGCAGGCTCCATGCAGGGAGCCCGACATGGGACTCGATCCCGGGTCTTCAGGATCACACCCTGGGCCGAAGGTGGTGCTAAACCGCTGAGCCACCAGGGCTGTCCTTTAAAAGGTTTTTAAAAAATTTTTCTTTAAAGAGGCCAACTCCCCACTGAGCTCAGAGCCAGACATGGGGCTTGATCCTGAGATCATGACCTGAGCTGAAACCAAGAGTCAGACACTCAATTGACTAAGCCAACCAGACGCCCCCCTCAAAATCCAATTTTTATTTTTATTTTTTTAAGATTTTATTTATTTATTCATGAGAGAGAGAGAGAGAGAAAGAGGCAGAGACACAGGCAGCGGGAGAAGCAGGCTCCATGCAGGGAGCGCGATGTGGGATCAGGCCCTGGGCTGAAGGCGGTGCTAAACCGCTGAGCCACCCAGGCATCCCAAAATCCAATTTTTAAAAAAGAAAGGAAAATTATAAGATCCAAGTCACAATTTTTCATTTTTGTTTTTAATTTTACCATCTTGTTCGGATCGATGCACGCCGTATGCTCAAACTGGCACTGGCCAAGCCATTCCTTCATTAGCTCGATGTCCCGGTGAGCCCCTGGTCTGCTCTTCTCCACACACATGAGAAAAGCCTTCCGACTGCCACTCAGGTCATAACGGTCCTATTTTTCAGGAAAGCCAACATTTAAACCAAACCAAATTCACAAATCCAAATATGTCACAGATAGGAAATAATGAGTTTCTTCTAGAATCAATGGTGAGGTTTCCCAGTTTGGATCAGGGATGCAATACTGCCTGTCTTTCTTATTAGCTATGCAAGGAGGGTTGGGGGAGGCATGACTGGATTTATACTTCTTTCAAATATCTTCCTTACACTAGGACTAATAGGCCAATCTCAGTTTTAAATTCCTATGTATACATATAACTCAGCTTAAGGAAACATGGCAGAGAGTAGAATATAGTCAATGACAACATAGGGCTGTAGTCATCAAAATCCAAAATATGGGGCATTCTACAGACAACCTAGTTTGTTCAACAAGTAAACAATAAGAAAAAAGTTTAAAGAAGTAGGAAGTAGCCTAAGAGTCTTAAGACACAAAGCAATCAACTGTATTGTATGAATCAGAATCCTGATTTAAACAAATCACCTGCGAAAGACAGACCACGTCAAGAAAATCTGAATGCCACTGCATCTTTGCACACACTATGGAAGTTGTTTTTAGGTAGAATAATGGCATTGTGGTTCTGTTTTGAAAAATCTCTTTGTCATGCTCAAAGACAAAGAGTCATACTCATGTATCTGTAGATAAAAGTGAGAGGGTATCTGAATTTGCTTTAAAATTACTGGAGGGGGGAGCAGACAAAACAGGATTGGCCCTATGTTATTAATTTGCTGAAGCGGGGTCATAAGTAAGTTGGGCTGGAAACCGGCAGGTCCGTTTTCTATTCTTCATTAGTATTTGCTGAAAATTTCCATCATAAAACAAAAAACCAAACTCTGCAACCAGAGATTTCCATGGCCATCCAAGGCCATAGAGCCTGTCATGCTAGAACTTCTAGTGCCTCATTTTCTCAATTTACAAAGAGAGATAACGGCAGTGCCTACCTTGTTTGGTTAATGCAGGCACAGTAGTTTTCAATGGCTCATGTTTATCTTTCACCATCATAACAGAAAGCAGTGAGATCTGACTACTTTAGACAACCGTACAGACAATCCCCTTTAGCTAACTAGAGCCGCACAAAAAATGTTCCAATGTCAGCTAGAAAAAGTGGCTAAATACCATCTTTCCTAACCAGTGTGTACTGCTGATATAAGAGCAAAAATATTTACCAGTTCTCCATCCACACAGTCATGGCTTCTCTTTAGAATCTTTCTTGGAATCCCTGAATGCATTTTTGAGAAAAGAGAATAAAACAGAGAAAGAGTATTATTATTTTTTCTGCCTTAGTTTTCTCCTCTGTAGAGTCAAAGGGGTAGAATCACTATTACAGCTTCTATTTTTTTTGTATTTTTTTGTATATTTTTTTTTTTGGAGTTCGATTTGCCAACATATAGTATAACTCCCATTTTCTTCTTTTCAATCAAGATCCACTGTCATTCTTGTTAACAGGAAGCGCCTCCCAAGGAATTCTGTTGCCTTTTATGCTTTCAGGTCCAGCAGGCTTCAATCTCATTTTAGAACAGGTTCCCTGGATTATGAACACACTCTCCTCAAACTCATAAGGCTAGAAACTTAAACCAGATCTCCCTTGGACCCCAGTTAGGTACAAGGGCAGAAAGAGCCAAGCCAGAGATGAAAAGGACAAGGTCTGATTGATTGACATTACTGCACATGTCCTTCCTGAAAAGGAGATCAAGGTTTCCATCAAGGGACAGATAAAAAGACTAGGTTTTTTTTTTTAATTTAACGTCATCACTTAGTATTTAATTCAAATATTTAGTGGGTGCCTAAAGTGTACAGCCATAATATTGTGTAGTCTGGATGATTCTGGGGAAAAAAAAAAAAAAACCCACAAACACTTTGCCAAGAGTAAGAGACTCACAGTCTAAAGAGGTAGTAACAAAAGTGTAATACATGAGTAACGACGCTGGGGGGCCAGCAAAACGCTGTGCAGGTGCAGAGAAACGGAGAGTCGGAGCTCCGCAGGCCGGCCGGAGTTCTGCCTACAGGCCTGTCTGGTGGGCCAGACAGCTGGGATCCATGACAAGTCTAGGCAAAGTCAGTAACAGTACCACACCGCAGAGCTCAATCAGACCCTAAGCATGCTGATAGGAGAGGTCACCGACGGTTGATTTCAGCGTCTATCTGGATGGCTCTCCCATAGCTGCTGCTTTCCCTCCGTCTACTCTCTCACACGCGCGTACTATGTGCACGGACGTTTATGAAATCTGGAGGAGGGACGCCCCAGCCTCCGTCAACCTGTTACATACTGCGTTTCTCGATCATAAGCCACATCTTAGATTTATGGCAAACGGTCTCATGGGGTGCAGGAGGGGGCTCCCTGCCCCCCACCAATACGTGCCCGGGAGACGTGACGGTGAACCGCCCACATCACGCCCTCCCGGAGGTGCATGTTAACGGAGCATCTCAGGCCTACTGAGTCGGTCCGATTTCTGAGCCCTCCCCCGCCAAATGTGCCGGTGGACGCCGACGGCTGCTCCTGGGCGGGTCACTGGGATTGGGCGCTCGGGAACGGCCACGGCCGGGACCGCTTCCCCGCAGGCTCCCTCCTCCCGCCGCGCGCCGCCGCGAGCCGCGCGGAGAATTCCCGGGAGGCCGGCCGGCCCCGCCCCCGCCCCCCCCCGGCCCCGCCGCCGCCCGCCGCCCCCGCCCCCCCCCCGCGCCCGCCGCCCGCCGCCCGCCCGCGCTCACCCCCGCGGTCCGCGGCGCCCTGCCAGAGCCTGAGCAGGTCGGCGCGGCGGAGCTGCCGCAGCACCTTGACGAGGACGCGCGACGCGGCGGGCTCGCAGTAGTTCTGGGCCACCAGACGCGCCAGCCCCGCCTTCTTGTGGCCCTCCAGCTCCAGCTTCACGGGGCTCACCCGCGGCTCCTCGTCCACGGTCTTGAGGAGCAGGCGGAAGTTGCGCAGGTCCTGCGGGGACAGCAGCTCCAGGGTCTCCTGCACGCGGCTCTGCAGCTCCTCCACGTCCGGGGTGAGCTCTGGAGGCGCCGGGGGGCTGCCGCACTCCCAGCGCCCGCCGCTCCCCGGGCTCCGCTCCATCGCTGCCCAAAGGCGCGGGAGCGCCGGGGCCGCAGGAACCCACCCGAGGTCGGCGCCCAGCCGACCGCGCACGCCTCCCGCCTCTTCCCTTTGTTTTGTAAAACGGAGGCGTTTCCGCTGGCTTCAGCCGCAGCCGAGCGTGCTGGCAGCGGCGACCCGAACTCTCCCGCCGGGTTTCTGGCCCGGCCCCGCCCCCGGGCCCGCCCCCGCCACGCCCCCGCCCCGCCCCCGCCCCGCCCCTCGGCTCCTGCTTAACCCTGGCAGCCGAGTTAGGGACCGCCCGGTGGGACCCCTCGCCCTGCGGGGCTCCTCCGCGTTTCTCTGCCAGGGCTGCGCCATAAGGGTCACTTGGGGAACTTTTATTTTTATTTCTTAAAAGATTTTATTAGTGTGTTCACGAAAGCCACAGAAAGAAAGGCGGAGACCCAGGCAGAGAGAAGCAGGCTCCTTGTGGGGAGCCGCCTGCGGGCCTCCGTCCCGAGACCCGGGATCGTGACCCGAGCGGAAGGCAGACGCGCAACCACTGAGCCACCCAGGCGGCCCGCACCTGGGCCACTTTCTAATCTCCTCCGGCCCAGGCCATAACCTAGGCTGATTACATTCACATTTCTGGGTGGCCGACCCCAGACATCAGCAGGTTTTAAGACTGTTTGGGTGAGTCCGACATGCAGCCTCTTTGAGAACCACTGACCTTAGACCTGGGTTTTGTCGGCTACCTAACTGGGAAGAACCACTGGGAGGAACTTGGACGCTGAGATAATACCTAGAAGCTACTATTTTTGGAGACGGAGTCGTGAAAAGAAATTGAGAATTGAGAATTTGAAGTCAGCAAGAAGTTGGAAAGCAAGCTACTCACCCTGGGGGGCATGGGAGGGACATTGCCTTGGGGAGCAGATCTAGCTTGGTGATTGTTGTTCCCTAACTTGATGAGACCCTCGGGAATTCACTCATTCTAATTATGGTTTCACTCAAATTTACTTACCCCGTGGGAGATCTGGTGAAGGAACCTCAGGACCTTGTTTGCATCCTGATTCTAATAAGCCAACTGTAAAAAACACTAAGATTTTGTTTTTTAAAATTATTTGAGAGAGTGACAGAGCCCACCGACACAAGTGGGGGTGAGGGGCAGAGGGAGAGAATTTTCCAGCAGACTCCTGGCTGAGCACAGAGCCCAGCATGGCCCCATCCCACAGCCCCAAGATCAGGACCTGAGCCCAAACCAAGAGTTGGAGGTTTAACCGAGCCATCCCTAAGATCTTATTTTTAAGTAAGCTTTATGACGTAGTTTTGGAATATTGGTGCGGTCCGAAGCCAAAGGCCAAGAAGGAATTTTTGAGACGTCTTTGGCGTAAAAAGGTGATTTTATTAAAACATGGGGACAGGACTCTTGGGCAGAAAGAGCAGCAGTGGCTGCTGCTCTGGGATTGTGAGGAGCTATTGATAAATACTTTGGGGTTAGGGGAAATGTAAGTAAGGTGAATTCCAGAAGGATATTCATATGCTAAATATCACTGGAAACTTAATGGCCTTGCTATTGTCAAATTAAGGTTGTTTTTCTCTCTAGCAAGGCATTAACGTCAAGATGGGTGGGAGCTTCCTGGAGTAACATTATACTCTGCCTGCCTCAAGCATTTGGCAAGGGACTGCAGGTTATAAGGACACTTAATTTTATCTAATTTCCTTCTGCTTTTGTATCCCCCTTCATCTAAACTGAATGTGGGGCTTGAACTTACAACCCTGAGATCTAGTGGGTTCACTTGATGGACGGAGCCAGCCAGGCACCCCTAAAAAATCTGTTTTGAGACAACTGGAAATGTGAATATGGGCTGGGTATTGGATAATATGCAAAAAATTTGTTAACGTTTTCCAGGTGGGATAATAACATTGTAGTTATGTAAGAAAGTTCATTATTTTTACAGGTGTACGTTTTTAAGAGATGAACTATGGAAGGGTGAAATGGTGCTGTGTCTGGAGTCTTTTTTTTTTTTTTAAAGCCTTCATAAAGGGGAGAGTGGAAAGACAAGGGTAGCAAAATCCTGATAATTGTTTCATCTCTCAGTAATGGGAATGAAGGGCCACTGTACCATTTGCTCTACTCTTTATGATTGAAATATTTTGTAATTTATTTTTGGAAACTGAATATAACATCTTGAAAGCTTTGCTTCTGTCCTCTTTTGGCCCATGCTTTACTAGGCCTTACCTGTAAGTGGTCAAATAAGTGTTTCCTTCCTACAAAGCTTTCCCTCTAAATAATTTAAGTCTGAGGTAGTCAAGAACAAATTAGTTTAAAAAGGCACTGGGCAGTGTTTCCAATCAGCTGAAACTCAAACTTTAATAGTTGTGACAGACTGCAGAAGAGGAAAAACCAATTCCTGGGGCCGGAGATAATGCAGCTATCCAGGGCCACTTGCCTTTGGAATCAGGGTTAAAAGGGGCATTCCAGTTTTACTCCATGTTTAGAGGAAATTAGACTGTTTCTCCAAATTATGATTTCTTTGCGCTGAAAGAACAAATGAACATGTAAGGTGACTCTGGTGACTGAAATTCACCGGCCGAGTCTAAGATGAATAGATTGGAGTGAAGCCTATACCTCTGGACTTCATCAATGTCCCTCATCTGCCAGGGGCTCTTGGGAGGGCCCCCACTGGCATGAGGCTCCCGTGGCCCAAGATGAGGGTCAGGGCCTAAGTTTTTGGGAGGCAACCCCTATATCCATCACCTGTGGTGACCGGCCTTCCCTCCATTCCTATCCCAGCAACATTTCCAGTCTTACATAATCTTCTACTTTCTCTGGCATGAGGCCTCATGCATGCAGGTCACCAAGCACTGGTGGCTTCAGTGCAGCTGAGATTAGGATCCTCTCTGTCCTCTCCTAGTCTCCTCCTTCTGTTATTTTGAATGGGACACTTTAACCTAAACCTTAAGTATAAACTTAAACTTGTGATCAAACTTAATAAAAATAAATAAAATAAATAAACTTAATGTGTGTCTGAGGTTGAATTGTGCATACCCTGGGAGTCCTAACCCTCACCCTAGCTCCTAGGAAATGTGACCTTATTTGTAAATACGGTCTTTGCAGAAGTAATCAGACTGAGGTCCTTCTAGAGTAGGGTTCATCCAATTACTGGTGTCCTTGAAATTAGGACATAGAGACAGATGTGCAGGCGCTTTGTGGAGATGGAGGCAGATTGAAGTGATGAATGCCAAGAATTGTCAGCAACCACCAGAAGCCTGGAGAGACCAGTGCTATCTTCCCCTAGAGCCTTGAGAGAAAAGATGTCCCTGCTGACATTTTGATTTCAGACTCCTAGTCTCTAAAACTGAGAATAAATTTCCGCTAGCAGCTACCCAATTTGTGGTAATTTGTTGTGACAGCCCTAGGAAACTAACCCAGGGTACCAGAAACATCTGCTCCTTTAACCTTCATCATTACTATCCCCACTTTCTGTGAACAGTTACAAGTGTGTCTAAGTAAGTAGAGAACCAAGCTTTCCATCTAGAACAGCCTATATTCTTAACCAGACCAAAATTCCCCTTCCTGCTGTCATGATAATGTAATGGCTCTTTCCTAAGTTGGCAAGTGGATAGAAACACCTAGAAACCCCCGAGGTTGGCTATAATAAACAAAACATACAATAACAAGTGTTGAGGAGGATGTGGGGAAACCAGGACCCTTCTGCACTGCTGGTGGGAATGTAGAATGGTACACAGTCCGGTAGTTTCTCAAATGGTTCAACATAGTTTCCACATGATCCGGCAGTTCCACTCCTAGGCATGTATTTACATGAGAGAAATGAAAACACAGGTCCACACTAACACTTGTACATAAATGTTCATTGTGGCATTTTTCATAAGAGCCCCGAGTGGAGATAGTTCAAATAATCATCAACTCATGAATGGAAAAATAAAATCTCATACAGGCATACTGTATTATTTGGCCATAAACAAATAAAAGGACAGTGTTAAACATGCTACACGGATAAACCTCAGAAACATGATGCCATGTGAAAGAAGCCAGATGCAAGAGGTTACAAATTGTAGGACTACATTTATACGAATTGTCCAGTAAAGGCAAATTATGGAAGAAAACAGATCAATGGTGGTTGGGGGCTGGGGCTCAGAATGAGGATTAATTATAAATCTGAGATCTTACTGGGGGATGAATGTGTTCTAAAATGGATTCATAATGATGAATACTAACAATCACTGAATGGCTTATTTGAAATGAGTGAATTGTACAATGTGTGAAATAAAGCTGTTTAAAAAAATGTTTAGGTTTTTAGGACCTATACAGGTTAAGAGCCAGCCCCCTTAGACTATTGGGTTATTTTAAAACACAGTACAGACACTAGGTTTTCCAGTTTTCAATGATAAAGTGCTCCACTTTACTTATGCGAACTTTAGCTGCAGAAAAATGCCAGAACAACTTGTAATTGAAACAGTGCAGAGGCCAAAACCAAAAAGAACGTCATCTGGACACTTACAGGCTAAGAAGCCACTGTCCCCACTTCTTCAGAGCCTCTGAGGTGATTAGTAACCAATTAAGTAATGACATCTCTTCTTTCTCATCCTATCAGCATCCCAGACGTACTAAAGCCTGGTGACAAGGACCCCTCTCTCTCCACCAACCTGGCTTTCCCCACTGGAGCTCTTCAGCCACAGCTTCTCTGGCTGTGTGAAGCCTTGTCCCAGAACAGATCCAAACAGGCAGCCTGGTGTAGGTGGGTGGCTGAGGCAGAGCCACCTGAAAGAGCTCTTTCCAGAAATGCCTTATCGAGTAGCCTGGCAGGATGTGCAAACCCTTCTAACTTCCCAGTGTGCTATATGTGGCAGTAACTCCACTTTGGGGAGATTCTGAAGGCTTGAGTCAGGCCCATCTCTTCCCTACTCAAACTGGGGAATGAAGGGGATACATCAGCCTGGCTTTCCAGATAGAACTTGATCTTACTCTAGGACAGTGAGTTGAAGCAGCCCTTGGCAAGAGCCAGGCAGGGCAACAAAGCCCATCTTTGCCTGGTCCCTCTTGATCAGGACTTCAGTCCCATCTTGGCCATCATCTCCTCATACACGGTCCATGCCATCGCTGCCATCAGAGCTCTGCGGAGGGCCCGGGGGACGCCACC